TTTCTAATGAGGTCCATAAACATTTTGTTGACGAGTCTTTGGTAAGTCGCTCTGGCTTTTTCAACCCGAAGGGCATCATTCTATAACAATAAAGGCATCGGTCTGTGAAGAAAGAGGTGTGCTCCTCATCGACCGGGTGTATAGGTATTTGGTTGTAGCCGGAGTATGCGTCCATAAAGCTCAACAACTCGTACCCAGCCGTTGAGTCTACTAGTTGGTCAATCCTTAGGAGAGGAAAGCTGCCTTTCAGGCAAGCTCTGTTAAGATTAGTGAAATCGATGCACACCCTCCACTTGCCATCGTGTTTCTTTACTAAAATCAGGTTGGAAACCCACCTCGGATAAGTAGCCTCCCTGATAAAGCCATTTTGAATGAGCTTCTAAACTTCTTCCTTCAGAGCCTTATACCTTTCAGGATTGAGGGCTCTCCCTTTTTGTCTGTGCAGGGCAACCTTAGGATCGACTTTCAGGTGGTGGCACCTGACCTTGGGGTCTATGCCTAACATGTCCTCATGCCTCCAAACAAAGACATCAAGGTTCCTACTTAGGAAATCCTTAATCTTTTTTCATCAAGATGTTGGATAAGAACCTTGCCTACTTTTAGCACCTTGGATAGGTCTCGAGGGTCTACCAGAAGCTCTCAAGTTCCTCAATTGGTGATGCTTGAGGTTCGTGTTCAATTATGCGGGGATCGATCTCATCAATGACCAATACCTCCGGGTTGGGTAGTGCATCAATCATATCGATATCTTCTGGTTCAGTAAGAGCATCACCTGGGACATCAGCCATAACTATATCGACTATGATTACATGGACATCCCGGGGCTCTACCTTTTTGATGGAGCTTAGATAACACTCTCTCGATCCTCTTTGGTCGCCTCTCACTGTTGCCACTTTTTGTCGGGAATTTCATGCATAGGTAGTGGATGAAGGTGACTGCTCCTAATTCTTTTAGGCTGGCCTTCCTAATACTCCGTGGTAGGCCGATCTACTGTCGACAATGAGGAACTCCATGAAGTTCATTGTAGTTTGAGGAGATTCTCCCATCTCCACTGCAAGTGTTATCTTTCCCCTTGGAGTGATACTGTCTCCGGTGAATCCGTACAAAGGAGTTGTGGTGGGTGTCAACTGATGATCCAATATCATCCTGTCAAAGGCAAACCCGAATAGAATGTTAACAGAGCTATTGTTGTCAACTAACATTCACTTGAGCCCATTTCGAGCTATGATGGCTCACAACAAGTGCATCGCAGTGGGGATAGTGAACTCCTTCAGTGTCCTCCTTGGTGAAGACAATAGGTGGAACTTGGTTCTTCCGGGGGCTACTGTCCACAATGTAGCTTGCCAAAGGGTGGTGTTTAGTCTCCCGGGCATAATTCCTTTTGGCGTTTTGTGTTTCACCGCCAACATATGGTTCTCCAAATATGGCATCCACCTCGTGTATAGAGGCCTCATCCTGGGCTTGTCGGTTTCTTCGGTGCCTGCGCCCTTCCCTGGGCCTCTTCGTATCATGATCCCTTCGTCATGGGGAAACATCCCTTTGACGGGGAGCGACCTCCTTACACCCACGTCGATTTTCATGCCTGGGCGGGGGCTTGCTCGCCTGGGGCGATTCATTTCTGTCCCTAGGGGGTTCCAGTCGGGAGCGGTGAGCATAGTCTCGACAATTCGCTGTGTCATGTTCGTAGGACCGGTGGTGTACACAGTATCCCAGTGGGTTCTGATTTGACCTATTTCTAGGTCCAGAGCCCCGGCTTTGACCTTTCCCCCTACGGGATCCTTATGGGGTTTCCATCTGTCGGGTGTCAGTAGTTGGGTTGATGTCCTCATATGCCAAAGTAGGAACCGCGTTCAAAGTGGTGGTAGCAAGTGCTTGGCCAGAACTCTCATTTCCAGCCTGGTTCATTTGGTAGTCCATCAGGTGGGAGGTCGACCCTCTAGCACATTGCCTTTGAGGAGGTGGGAGGCCTCTACTTGCCCTGTTCCTATGCTCAATCAATTCTTCATTGATGATTTCCCGTCTCATCATCTCGAGTAGGGCATCATAGGTGGTGGGATCTTGATTTTGCACGTCCCTCCAGAATAGGGTATTCATGTTCAAACCTCCTCTTAATGCGGATAGTGTCTCACGATCGGTGACTTGCACACAATACGTCATCTCATCGGTGAAGCATGATAGGAAGCTCTTTAGGAACGCCCCATGTGCTTGTCTCATGTCTTGGAAACGTTGGATGAGGGCCTCTCCTTCTATGCTTACCGTGAACCTCTTCATGAATGTTGTCTTGAACTCGGGCCAACTTCTTATACTCCCAGGTGGTAACCTACTATACCAAATTTCAGCGGCTCCACTAAGTGTCAAATGAAAAGCTCTGCACTTCATAGCTGGGGTGGCACCTCTTAGGCTCATGTGAGTTTTATAAGTATTTAGGTACTTTTTTGGGTCGCCTCTTCCATCATACTTTGGTATCTTTTGCATTATATAGTGGTTTGGAACCTGGGCACTCCTTAGTTCCTTTGAGAATGGCAAATTCTCATCGTCGTCGTCCAAGTCATAGGACCTTTGCTGTTCATCTTAATCATATTCCTCGGCCTCTTGCCGTGGTTGTTGGTGAGAGGTTCCGGGACGGTTCCTCCTTCCTCTAGCACCTATTTCGAGGCAGAACAACACGGGGGACATTTTCATGCCTTTTTTTCTGGCTGTTGGGGCATCGGAGGTGGAGGTGGTGGCCTTATCCAAGGTTGGTGTGTCTGTTGTTTCCTAAGCCTCGGTTCAGCGGGGCTAATTCTGTCAAATACACTATCTGCCCTCCTATGTCTTGACTTTTGTTCATACGGAGGTGGGAAGTTATCATGGTTCAATGGGACCTCGGTGGATCGGCCAGAAGCGTAGTTGGAGGAAACATCAACTTCCACTTTCCTTTCAAATGGGCTTCTATCTCGGCTATAGTCCGGCGAGGCAGTTCTATGACTTTGGATTTCATCTTTTTGCTGGTAGTGCCCCTAAGGGGCGTATGGAAGAATGAGGAAGCCTCACTGGCCTTGCATTTGGGCCATGAGCTCCCTCATAGCCAAGTTTTGGCTAGTAATATCTCCCATGTTGGCCGCCATGGTAGCCATTTCTCTTGACAGTTGTACCGTCGCCTACAATCCACCTCCTCTTTGGTGGTGGTAGAGTCTTTGTCAAGCTGCTGGGGCAGTGTGTGGAGGAGGTACATTTGCATTTTCTCTTACCCTCTTGGGGGTGTCTTCGTTTGAACTCATTTTCTTTTTATCTGACTCTTCAAATTTTGCTAAGTTGTGGGGCTTCCTCTTGTTCTTTTTCAAGAACAAATCCTTTTTCAAGGGGGATACCCAAATGCTCTTCAATAAGCTTTCACCACAAAGTTGTTCGTGGTTATGGTATGGTTTCCCACAGACAACGCCAATCTGTTGACCCCAAAAAGTGTTGCCAACAAATACCAGACCCATCCGCGTACACGTGAGCGAAGGTCCTACACGCTAAGACACGTGAATGGTCTAGAACGAACGAATCAGGGGCATGGGAATAGCTCAACGACACGGGACGAGAACGTTTGGAATCCGGTGGGATGTTTTTAATTTGAATTGTACAATAATTACCAATCGACGTTTGTAAATGTATATCCAAATATATATGAATTCGTTTGTGTTGCAACATAATAAGAGAGGGTTGAGTAAAGTATGGTTTCTTGTATTGATTCTTGCATTAGTCCTTCAATGTTATACAAGGAAAATATTTATAGTGTTACATGTGAAATGACAGCCTTTAGATGAGGTGGCACGTGGCCTCATCTCCTTAATTCAAACATCCAATCCTATGCATCATCATTGATTTGCTAGCTTGCTGCACATTTATTGCTTGTACAGAACCCCCATGTTGGTGATAAGACTTGACATATGCACTCATGATAAACGTTTCATCAATCATTCAAACAAGATCTTTATGTAGAAGATCTCTTGGGAGAGGTGATCATGGAAGACATTCCTTCATGGTTCGGAGGCTTCTGCTACTCATGTAGTACTTCCACTTCAGGGCTTCGGCAATCTTCACAGGCCTCGGTATATGGAGTTCGGCTACTTTCAAGGCCTCGGCCATACAGCTTACTTCGGTTGGAGTGCCACGTGGTTCGGATTAAGTGGGCCATAGGCCCACGTAGGTTGGCCAAGTATGACAACACATAACAATAGTCCCCCAAATCCAAGTATAGTCATTTATGTGATGCGTGGACTTTAATGAAGTAAACCAGTAGACCCACGTAGGTTAGTCAAGTATGACAACACATAACAATGAAAATTCCAAATTAACAAAAATATTCTTTTTATGGGGCAAGAAGGAGATGTTGATCAAAGTTTATAGATTGCACATAATCTTTTGCTTTAGATTTTAAAGAAGAAATTAAACTATGGACAGATCTGGTTAGGGGAAGAAGGTGATATTTTTACCATTTTTCTAAATTTTTTTTTAATTTTTTATGTTGAGTTAATATACATTTAATTGTTTTAAATAGTATGTATTTGTACTTTTTGAAAATTTGCAAGACTTCATGTGCATTTTTTCCTTAGGGTCCATTTGATTACAAAGATGGAATTTGGGGGGGAAAGAAAATGAATTCCATGGAATTGAATTGGCTAAAAATTATTTTACTGTAAATTGTCAATTATTGTGTTTGATTGGTATAATTTTTCACGTGAAAAATGTTGAAATTAAAATATTTTTTGGTGTTCGTTTGGTTTTGTTTTACATGAAAATTGTCAATTAAAGGGATATAATTTAATGGTATTGGGGATAAAATTTATTTTCCATTGCCAAAAAAAATAAAATAAAGAAAATCACCTATCTTTTGGTGTTCGTTTGACTTTGTTTTACATGAAAATTGTTAATTAAAGGAAAATATTTTTTTTACAATTAACGATAGAATTTGTCTCCATTGTCAAAAAAAAAAAAAAAAGGAACAGTAGCCTAGAAAATCAATTCCCATTGAAAACCAAGAAAATCAATTCTATGGAAAAAAAACCTATCAAACAGTCAAAAAGTATAAGTCGGAATTTGAATTCCATTTTCCATGAAAAATTCATGCCTATCAAACAGCCCTTTATTGTTTTATTACTTTACTATTTTTTTAGTCATTTAAAGATGAGGTGAATCCACCATTCAATGGCCAAAATGGAATGAATGATAGGTTTTGCTATATAATTAAAAATTGATGGTATACGTGTGTATATATGAGAGAGAGAGTACAGGTCAGACAAAATAGTGGTGGGGTGTGTCCGTTTTGGAGTTTCGGTAGAAAACAGAAATACAAAAGAATCAAGTTTTTAAATAATTTACAATACCAAATTTAGTCACCTCAGTCCAACTCATTTCATTTATAGCTATGCTGGCATTTCTTTGAGTAGAACATATTCACAACTCTTCAATCATATGTGCCGACAAGAATGTGCAATCTTGTGTAACTCTTACAAAATTCTGAACATTTAAATTAGTAAATTTTAACTAAATTTACTTTTCAAACATGTCCTTATTTATTAGGGCAAGAAATAACTTGCATCATTGTTTCAAGTACCTTACTAACATGAGTAACAATTCGCAATCAATCCCGTTGAAGTAAATGTACAGTCGTGACATGTCCAACAAGTTAGTAATGATTAGCTTCTATCGCTAGCACTTGCACTTGGAAGCAAAGAAACAAGCTTGTTAGAAAACTGTGGATCGAAAGGATGGAGCTTTCCAATGTCACTTGTACTCTCACAAAAAAGGGAGTCATTTTCATTTTCAAAGATTGGCTTGTTCAGAATTATAAATTAGTAATAGTTCATAATGATCAAAGTCGAATCGTATTCCCATGATTAAAGCAAACTCAAAATAACAATAATCAAAATCTCCTCAAAAGTGTCTCGTCTTGAATTTAAAAGTCCTGTAGGTAAGACAATTGAAGAAATTTCTAAAAAGACTTTATTTTATTTTTTTTATTTTTTTTATTTATTTATTTTTTTTTTTACATTTATGACCTGAGGTTGTTCCCTGCTGCATGGACAGGAGAATATTACAGATAAAAAAATAAAAACTAAATGAAATATACAAACAAGAACCACAGAAATTCTATTGCCTTTTTCCTTTTACTTCCACATTCATTTCTTGGTGTTTCTTTCTTCCCATCAAACCTTCCGTCCACAAACAAACAAACAAAGAATTAGGTCTCTGGGAATTATGCAATATCATGACATTTCAAATAATTATTTACGTGATTTTCCTGATGCTGATTTCCCTTTTTTTGAAGATTTGAGGAAATTTAAATGCTTTTTCCTTGTAGATTCACCCTGCAGCAGCCCGGGACATTGGAGTTTCTGTATTAGTATAGTTTCCTTTATTTAGAGACTATAAATAAAGCTCTCTATGAGAGTACACACGTTTAATTATATTTTCACATAATCATTATACTGACTTGAGCATCAGAGTGATGACGGGAGAGTTCCCCGCCCTTCTTTATTTGTGGGCACACTTTAACGACATCCTCAGAATTATTTTCTCAAGAATTAAAAGAAGCGTCTCGACAAAAATTTAGTGCGTACCTCAAAATTTGCAACAGATGATCCTTGTGAAAAATAAGGGACATATTCTTTTGCAGTATGATTGTTGAAAGATCCTACGTGGTCCTGAAATTCAACCAAAACATAATTATCCACGATACGTTTTCTATTCCTCAGAAAATTAATAGGAAATATTGCTGTTTCGTTGAACTAACCTGGGAGAAATGAAAGACAGGGGAACTAGCAGTATCATCGAGATGCAAATTTGGTTGGTCTTTCGTTTTCTTCTTCTGCTTGTTCTTCTTTTGACGTCCATCGGCAGATTCGCTGTACTCAATGAAAATCGGAGGGCCGGATGATGCATCAGACACCATGGACAGATCTTCACCTTCTGTGTCCTTATTGGCGTAAGCTGATCCTTTTGGATAATCCTCATCAACTGGCCAGCCAAAACCTGGGTTGTATCGACCTGCATAGTTGGAATTTTGATCAAAATACATGGTCCATCCGGATTCACAACCACTACTACATTCAGAATTTGATATGTTCATTCAATCAGATTAAGATTTAACTTCTATATATGTTTTTTCACTAAAGAGAGAGATGTTCCTATTTATAAGTAGAAGAGAAGAAGAAAGTATAATACAAACAAAAAAAAATCACACATTTTTTATTTTTTATTATTTTTTTAAAATTTTTATAATAGACCGAGTTAAACAACAAAAAAAACTAAAATCTTATCCAATCTTATGTAACACGAAGAAAATTATCCTGCTTGAGTACCATTATTTCAACACTAATATTTTCTCCAACTTATTTTAAACTGTATAATAAAATATTTTGCACGTAAATGAAATTTTTTCTATTTTGTAAGTACACATTGTCCAAAAATTCACTATTCCAAAACTTATTTTCCTACTTTAATGGTAGACAAACATGGACTAAGTGTGTATTGATACACTATATTATTCATGAATCATGATATTGTGATAATCCGTTATAAACCCATTTAGTAAAGTATATTATTTTAGTCCATTTGATTAGAGGAGGATAAATTTCCCATATTAATTTGACTTAGGTATCATTTATAATAAATATCGTATAAAATCAAATCAATTATGATCCGGTATAATACCTTACTCAAAACATAATGCAGAAGCTAAATTATAAGGGCATCTCCAATGCTATCACCAAAACACCTAATTTTACCAAAATTTGGTGCAAAAGCTCTCCAATGTGACACCAAAATTTTCATCATTTTGGTGTAAAATGGTGTAAAGTCAAATTGGCACCACTTTGCAAAGTCAAATTTGCCATTTGTTTTCCAATTGCCAAAAGAATTGATGAGGGTATTTGTCATTTGTGTTATATTTTTTTAATACATTATTATTATTATTATTATTTGAAATAATATTTTCATTTTCTTAGTGTTTTTACTAATTGTACTGTTTTTATATTTATTAATGAATTTAATATTTTTCTTAATTTAACGCAATTATTTATTTAGTAATTTATGTATTTGTAAAATAAATAAATAAATAATTTTCAAATAAATAAATTATTAAGAAGAAAAAAAAGAAAAGAAAATGATTAAACACTATTCACTTGATGTAAATTTTGATAAAATGGTTGGAGATAATTTTTTAGTTTGATGCAAGATTCAGTGCAAAATTTGGTGTAAATTTTGGCGTAGAGTTGGAGATAACCTAAAGCAAACACCATGACCTATCTTTGTCCCTCATAGAAATGGTAAACAGAATGCTACTGCAAACTGCAAAATATTGAGCACGAGTGCAGCTCAGGAGTCATTTTCTACTGTTGGCCTGTAAATTTGGATTCTTTGGACCTGAGAGGTGGTGGTTTAACTTGAACAGGAGAGATTGTACTACCAAAATTTGATGCTTTTAGATTATATCTTAGCATCATATTGTTCCATCAGCAAAATACATAAACGTTAATAGGCGGTTAAGAACGGTGGGTATTTAGCTATTTGCAACATAAATAAAATTAGGTGTATTTATGAAAAGAGAAAAGAAAACAAAGAAATTAAAAAAATTAAAATAAATATCCCAGTGGACCTCAATTTCCTGCCGACGACTCAAAAAGCACCAAGTAGAATAAGAGGTAGCCGCCACCGTCCCCCACAAATGTACAATATCTGATATTTCAGTGTTGCTTAAAATTATTTTTAGTTAAGATTATTTATCTGAAAAAGTAATAGTGTGTTTGATTGCCTATATTTTTCATGGAAAATATGTTTTTTCATCCAAATTCCTACTTTGTCCTGTTTGATTGTCATTTTTTTCATGAAAAATATTTTCCTACTTTTGGTCACATGATCATATATTTCTCAAAATCAAGGAAAATATTTTCTTTAGGGGGAGTAGGATTTTATTTTCCAGGAAATATAATTCACTCTCACTCATTTATCCATTTTCTCTCATCTACCTACCAATAAAAAATGGATCAGTATAATATTTTCTAGGTTAAAAATTAAATTAATCAAACACAGTAAATTGATAATTTCAATGCAAATAAATTTTAGACAATTGAATTACTTATAATTTATTTTCTTTTCATGCAAATTTCATACTTGTAATTAAACGCACCTTAAGTTCTGTTAATTGAAAATTGAATAAGATTAAAAAGTCAACTTTAACCAAATAAGTGATTTGAAAGTTGGTTTAAATCACTTTAAAGCACGATCAAAACGATGTCAACAAACTAAGCATATTCTCAATAAAATTTATTGAATTGTCTACTTCATTCAATTTATCAAAACCATTAAACATTTTTCTCATGTGGGAATAACAAATTTTGATATGGACATTAACCATTGGATCTTGCATGCTCATCCATTCCACAGAACGAATACTAGCCAGTTTCGCACAGACAAGAATTTGCATGGTACAATTACCCATCATTATTCTATTCTTATTTTTTCGCTAGGCAATTAAAAGATGATTGCACGATTTGTCTTGTTTTCTTGCTAAAAATCTCAGTCCTACATGAAATTGATGTGCCATTGGCCCATTGTAAGGGAGAAAATGGCAATGAAATGCCGTATTCAAGGAAGAGACTCCAGTGAGGGTACATAAGATTACAGGCGACTCACGTGGTTCAAAGTACATGAATTTAATTCACATAATCTTACAGCAAAGCTTGCCACAGTAGAAACGCTGGTTGTCATAGATGTTACATTATATCTCAAAAGATTAATTTATTATTTGTTAGGCTTTGATACTCAATAAATCTTGGACGATGACATTAAAATAATTTGAATTAGATATGTCAATACCATGGTTATTGGCTCGACTCGAATACAGCCTATTAATCACTTGTGGAGGGCTCTTAAAGTCTTGGCCTAATTACCCTATATCTTCTCCCAAACTTGGTTTATAACCTATTCCTATATATTGCCTCGCTTTGCTTACCGTGACGGCCAGGTGTTAATTTGAAAGAGAAAAACAGTGGCTGCCGTTCTCATTATCCTTGTCCTTGTGCCTTGAGTTTAACTTTGTTTTTCCATTGTTTCTCCTCCTTTGTGGCTGCAAATCACCGTCATAATCTTGTGGGTGAGAGATTGTAGCAACCGTAGGAAATGAGTTGTGGGTTTCGAGACTTTACTTTGATTGGTGATTGACTGATTTTGGTATTGAACTAAGCCTGATTTGTGCATGATTCAACGGTATCAGAGCGCTAGGTTGTGCAATAATCTATGAAAAGCTTGTGCAAAACAACAGATACAAGGCTGCATAGAAGCTAAAACTGAAAACATGTTGAAAATCTTTTTTGACCACGGCTACAAATTCACAATTCTGACCAATCCAGTGATTGGTTGGTGAAACCAAGGGCATATTTTGACTCTAGACGACGAGGTAGAGCTTCCTGGTTGGCGCATGTGGCGTGTGAAGCGATAGAGGTGCATGAGATTCACGCGCAGAGACATCAATTGTTGACTTATGATTGACTATCATCTTAAAGTTTTGATTATAACAAACAAGTTAATCTCGTTTAGTAACAAGTTGAATTCAAGTGATTATAGTTTTTCAAAGTATATCGATGATCGTCAAAAGATCAAAAGCTATTATCACAAATCGGACTCATGAAGGAGGTTAAAACCGAAATCACACATTCGAGAACTTAAGAGCCAAACTTCGGAGCAAGATCAATGACTTGGTTTCTTAGATAAAATGTAAAGGTGCTAACACTTTGATATTTGGCAATGAATGCTTAAACTCAAAATTCTTCTATGAATTAAAAACATTTTTTGTGCACTGAAAGTCATTCTTATGCAATGTTTTTATCAAATATAAAAATGACTTTTAGAATGATATTTCAATTTTAAAAATATCTTTTATCTTAAAAATTTTGTTAAAAATACTTTTCAAAAGTCCATACTTTTCAAAACCTTCAAATTTATTCAAATGGGGGCCAAAATGTAAAAAGATCGAAATTGTCGAGCAATTTACCAGAAGTTTTCTAATAGTCCAAAATTTAACCGTTCTGACCTCTAATTTTTTACTGAACAAACGATTATATTGATCATCCAGACAAAAGGCAATACACCGAACGAGTCATTTGAACTTCCAAATTTCTTGACGTTTTGAACTCCATAAATATCTCCACTCTTTCCGATCTTCATAAGAGATTCAAGAGTATTAAGTGAGATATATTTTGAGAGAATTCTTTGAGGCTACATTGCACTCATTCCATTCAATTCTCCCTATTAAAAGCTTTAATAAATACAAACTCTTTTCATCATCTTCATCCAAGTTTTTTATTTTTATCACTCTTTTTATACTTAACTTATATTTATCATTCATAGAATAGAGATAATTTTGAAGAAAAGTACTGAACTTACATTATATCATTTCTTTTGTTTCTTTATATCAAAACTTTGATTTATTGAATCAAACTTGTAAAATCATAATATTCATCAAAGTTCCTCATTTCTTTTTTGATACTTAATTTATTAACATTATTCATTAAAAGAGAGAGAGATATTTTGAGAAAATTTTTAACTTGCATTGCATTTATTTCTTTTTCATCTTCTCATTGAAAAACTTCAATCGGTTAAATTAAATTTTGAAATCGTCATATTCATTAAAGGTTTCTCACCTAATACATGAGCTATTATTTATTGCTATTCATTGAAGTGCTAGCCTTTCTTAGTACTTAATTCATTTGTATCATTTATCAAGAGAGAAGTTTATTGTAAATTTATTTTTTTTAAACTTGTCGATCGTATTGAGGTCCTGTAAAAGCTTCATAGTGTAAGGATCGGTGCTCCTTATTGTAAATTATTGTGTGAGTTATATTGAGGTCCCGTAAAACTTAATAGTGTGGATAATATTGAGGTCCTGTAAAGCTCAATATTATATAAGGATTGATACTTCTTGTTTGTAAGTCATCGAAAATGTTGTAAAGTGTTGAATTGCACCACAAGTAAATCAATATATAGAAAAGGCATTGCTCGTGCCAGAGAGTTTGATAACGAAAGACGTAGTCATTATTTTGGATTGAACTTCCACAAATATATCGTTTACATCATCTCTACCCATTTACTTATCATTATCTTATTTATTTTTTGTTATTGGATTGATCTACTTGCTTT